GTTTTTGGAACTAGCTGAAAGTTACTTGTGAATGAGGTGGGCGATGGAACAGAAGAATCTTATTTTTGGTGCCAAACAAGGTGCAACTATAAAGAAATGTGGCCGACTTTGTTGCCTGGCACAGAAACCTGCTCAACAGCAATTCCAAACGAAGACATCCAAAAAATGATTTGTCTCTACTCCAACACACACACACACACACACACACACACACACACACACACACACACACGGTACTGGCTGGCACAATATCGAGACAAGGGAAACCAAAAGTGCTTGGAATTTGGTTTGGAAAAAAAAACGGAAGTGACCTGGCTTGGCAGCCATGCCTGTGAAAACATCTGGGCGTTTCCGTTGGCCACCTGCTCCTTATGTGGGAAGGGTATGACATGGCTGCTAAGCAAGTGCCGGCAGTATGGGGCCGCTCTGAGAAACAGCCACCCGCCTTCACTCAGCTCAGGCTCCACTTGGACCACAGGTTCTGCCATGGGCGTGACAGTGCAAGAGAGCCCAAGGAGCAGGGGGGCATATGACCGAGTTGGAAGTGCTTAGGGAAAAGCAAACCAAGAACAATCCAGAAGCAGCAAGAGGCAGCGAGGAAAGCTTCTGGTGGCAGTGGGGCTCACAAAAAGTAGTGCGGTCCCAGTTTTCAGATTATGGATGCGAGTGAAAGCCCCAACCCATTGGCAGGGTCCCGGTGTGGACAGAGGCTCTGGTGAATGCCCTCTGAGTACTGATCAGCCAGGGGACATGGCCCTGTAGGGTGTCACTGCAGTTGGGACACCTTGTCACTTGATCTCCTGTTGGATTCAATGTATGTTTCTTCCAGTTGTTATTATTTTCTGTCCTTTTTCAAAAAATTAAGCTTTATTTTCATTCTGTCATCATTGCTGGATTTTTATTTGTTTGATTTTGCATGTTTTTTTCTGTATTTGAAATGCAGGATAGGGAAATCTCAAAGATAGACACTGGAAGGTGCCTGGTGGTGTAGTGGTTACACACTGAGCTGCTAACCTAACCACAAGGCCGGCAGTTCAAAACCACCAGCCACTGCATGGGAGAAAGAGCTTTCTACTCCCTCAAAGAGCTAGAGTTTCAGAAGCTCACAGGGCAGTTGTGCCCTGTTCTGTAGGGTCGCTGTGAGCTGGAATAGACTCAGTGGCAGTGGTTTCTCGGTGGTTGGTTTGCTTTTCTGAGGGGCACGGCAGGGGAGGTTGGTGAGTAATGGGGAGCTAACAACAAGTATAAGGAAAAATTGCCCCAGAATTGATTGTGGCGATGATTATACAGTTCCTTTGAATATGATTATACTATTGAACTCTGTGGATTAAATGTCAATTAGACCGCTTTTTAAAACGTGGTATGGTGTAGTCTTAATCTCATGTTGCTTTTTTTTCTTTTTAAATTTTATTGGGGACTCATGCAACTCTTATCACACTCCATCCATCCATCCATTGTGTCAAGCACATTTGTACATTTGTTGCCATCATCATTCTCAAAACATTTGCTTTCTACTTGAGCCCTTCATATCAGCTCATGTTGCTTTTTTAATGGAAGAACCAAGACCAAGGGGTATGTTCCTAATATAGACTTGCATGTTTGGCATAATCTCATACGGAGAAAAAAAGGACAGAAGTCAAAATATGTAATGCTGGATTTAATCTGTAGCCCCTGGAATGACAGGGAAATAGTATTTGAAGCCATCTGTATGGAGAGTCTCTCTATGGCACCAACCACCGTGCACTCACCTATGAATCAGAATAAATTCATCTGAATCAGGATAGAAGGCCTGATGACTCACATCTGAAAGGTCACAGTCATTGAAAACGGCAGGGAGCACAGTTCTGCCCTGCCACCCAGGAGCTTGCCAGTTTAAAGCAGCATGAGGGCAACTGTCATTTAGTTGTTAACTTCTGTATTGTTGGAACGCTTCTTACTAGTATTGCTATAGTTTGGCATCTTTCTTTTGTAAAAGTAAAGCTTTTTGTGTGAAGTAAGTGAAGTTTTCCTGAGCAGATCCTAGTTACATTTCACAATTCCCAGGCATTTTGTTCTACTCCAGGCATTGCAATGCCCCCGATGCACCATTGCTTACCCCACTGCCTCCCTGTGTATTTCCATTTCTCCTCCCTTTCCAGCCCTTTGAACGGATGGCCTTTTGATCTTAAATTGTTGATTATACTAACACAGAGGTGAGTTTAGACCCGAAGGGCCCTAGGCTTGGGGGGAGGGATGGTTCCCACCTGGTGTCTATCTAGCCAGCAAGCCTAGTCTCCTCCATGATTTTCAGTTCTGTTCCACATCTCCCCCACTATATCCAGAACCTTCGAACGTTATCCTTTTCAGAGCAGTTGGTGGTAGTAGCTGGGAACCATCTAGTCTGGTCTCAGGGTTGTAAAGAATGATGTTGGCCTCATCATTGAATCAAGTAGACTTACTGTTTTCATATGTCTTTCAAGTTCCATCACCATTCTTTCCCAGGATGGGGAAAGACCACTAAGTGCTCAGCAACTTTGAAGACCCTAGTTGCTACGCACCAAATTATGAAGTAGAACACTGTCTTTGCGAACTATATTCTACCATTGACGTTGGTGTACCCGAGACTAAAAGGAATCTGCTTACAATTAAGGAGTCCAGGCAACTAAATAGACTATGGTGCAGTGAAAGCCCTGCCCTAGGAGGTAATCATCTATGGGATAAGGTATAAGGTTTATTGCAGCTTTAGGGGTTCCACAACTTGACCTTTCCCCAATGCCACAGTTGAGCTGGTCCTAGTTCACATATGAGAAAGAGATCGGAAAGCTTCGGCATGTTGAGGCAACTTCCCAGAGGCTATGAATACACACACACACACACACACACATATACTATTATAAAAATTATGAAAAATAGTCATCTTAACATAATTCAGGTATACATTCACTGCCATTAAATCAATTTTGACTCATAGTGATCCTATCGGACAGGGTAGAATTGCTTCATAGGGTTTCCAAGGCTATAATTTTATAGGAAAAGGCAGCCACATCTTTCTCCTGCAAAGTGGCTGGTGGGTTCGAACTGCTGATTTTTTGGTGAGCCAGGTGAACACTTCCTCACTAAGTCACAACTAGGTAAGTTCATGCTATTAGAGAAGATCAACTCGGAAAAGGAGGGTGGCAATAGTTGCGCAATTGGAAGAATGCCATCACTCCCTCAGTTGTACAGGAAGAAACACTTGAATTGGTGTAGGTTTCGCAGGGCATTTCCCCCACACCAGAAAACTAAACTCACTGCCACTGAGTCACTATCAACTCACAGTGATCTGATATAGAGCAGGGTAGAACTGCCCCTGTGTTTCTGAGACTGTAACTATTTATGGGAGTAGAAAGCCCTGTGTTTCTCCCATGGGGCAGTTAGTGGTTTTGAACTGTAGACCTTGCGGTTAGCAGCCCAGCATGCGACCACTGGGCCAACAAGTCTCCTATGTGCATGTTCCCAAGAAAACCAAGTTAAGTTTTTTTTTAATGGCAAAGGTCAACAACAATGAGCATAATATCACTGAACCAAACCTGTGAAGAATGGTGAAATGGAAATACTTATATATCTATATAGGTTCTACAATAAAAAAAGTAAAAAGCCAAACCACCACCACCACCTCCTCCCAATGCCAGTGACTTCTTTCCCTTTCCAGTCTTACCAGCTGACTGTAAATCACTGAAAGCATAATAACAAATACAACGGACTTAAGTCTTTACTTCGTGGACATCCATGGAAGGAAATGGCTAGAGAGAGCATTTCCAATTGGTGTGTGGATACTTCGACAGCGGACAACACGGGATCAGGGGCACCTGTACACTGCAGGAGACCTTTGGCTTCCTGCATGGTGACCTCCTGTGTTCAGACAGAAATCAGAGCTCCTGACTGGGACTACCTCCTAGAATCAAAAGGGGTTTTCCTAGCCCCATCCTGACCTTTACGGAAAACATTTCCCTGGGTCTTGGCCCCTTTCCCTTGTACTCACTAAGCTTCTCCCCTGGCCACTTCCTTTCCCAACCTTGCCGTCAGGTGGCAGCTGGGCTCTCACCCTTTCGAAAGAAGCAATGCATCTATCGGTTAGCCTGCACTAGGAAGGCCATTGTGCTGGGCAAGACAAATGAGAGCGAACTGGAGAAGTAGCACCGGCGGCATTATTGTCTGTGGGCTAGAAGGTGTAGAAGATGAATGTAAGTAATAATACTTGGCATACAGCTGGTTGAAGGCTGGTGTTGAAATTAACACAGGGATCAGACCTGCGGCTCCCTGGGAGCAGGGATTGAATTGGTTTTGTTTCCCCCTTCCTCCAGCATCGGAGGCAATGAATGCTCGGCACTTCGTAGGTGCACAAAACCTTCTTGTTGCATGAATGACTGTTGAAGAAGCTCACCTGCGGCCAAGAGTGACAGGTGCCTCCTATGAATCGTGGCTTTCCTAATGACAATGTTTGAGACCTGACCCAGAGCAATTGCTGGCTCTGCCACGTGGCAGCACCAGAGTGTGGTGACAAAGCGCAGCGTTGAGACAGCAACAGAGACGCTTGGGGAATGATTTCAGGCCCTACGTAGGCCTACCTCTCTGGGTTGGAGGAGGAAGCAGTATGCAGACATGGGACCGCTCCAGAAGAGTATTAATTGTGTAATTTTATGTGCCCTCCCATCCCCAACCTGCAAGAGGATTTCTATGAGGGCTAAGCAGTTTAACAAAATAGAATTTTCAGAGACCTGAGAATGCCTTTGGTTTCATAGGCAAGACATTCCGAGCCAACGCCGGATTTCTAAATGTAGCCTGTGGCTTGGGCATGTATTGAGAGGGATTGATTTGATTGGGGTTTGGAGCTAGGCTTGATTCTCTACCAAAAAGTAGTGGGGTGAAGTCCTCTCATGCATGATTTTGTTATGCTGAGTAGAAAACGGAGGGAGAAGGACGAAAAGCACTGAACGGGCGCCATAGACAAAGGCTACCAAAAGAGACCCAACACATTTTTATTTGAGCGTTTATTTTATTTTATTTTTTCAAAGAAATCCATGCAAAGAGAAAGAGAGAGAGAGAGACATGGTAACCATGTTTCGACAGCCAAACATAGGAAAATAATTTGGCACAACTTTGATGGGTTTTTTTCTTTGCAAAAGCACACTCTATACTACCACTAAAATTGACCGTCCTCATAAAATATTCCATTTGATTTCGAAAACATAACTCACGGTTAGTTCTCTACTTAATGGTTTGAGGAGGAATCGAAGATAAAAAAATAAGAGGGTGGTTTCCTTTATAGAGGAAGACCACGGGGTGCTGACGACACAGCAGGAGGCCCACGCACCGGGGAGTCAGTGCACCAAGAAAGAAAAGCACATCACCGAGGTCACCAGGCTGGTTAGCACTTTGAGCGGAGAATGCCCGGTCCCAGCGCTGTGAGAGACGGTGATCTCGTTGTCCTTCTGGTTTGCATGCTGCTTATTTCCCGGAGCCTCATCCACGTCCAGATCATAAGCCAGTTCTGCCAAAAGAGAAGAGGCCTTTAAATACAGGGGTTTCAACAACACAAGGCTCACAATAGTCATGACTCCAGTGCTCGGGTGAACTGCTGGGAGGCCTAGCTCTGACTTCTTGCTTCCTTTGCATGGAAGGCCACCAGAAGGTTGGAAAGAGCGAGGAAGACTTGAGGGGGAAATAATATGGCGGCCAAAGGTTCTTCCTCCAGGGATCGAAAGGAAAGGGAGAGCTTTGTTGTGCTGGTCAGCTGCTGCTCTCTCCCCTCTCATCCCCACCCCCCACCCCATCCCCGCCCCTGTAGCTCAGACAAGGCTGTGCTTGACTATCTGGATCACCAGATCTAATCTCACCAGGATTGAAATCCAAGGTGCCTTGTGGGTGAATACACGGGTGTCCTTGTGCATGTGTTGGTGGGGCTGTTGAAACCCTATGTATTTTCCTAGGCCCTATACCCCACACCGATATCCTTGTGTTGGAAGGCTTGCTTTAATTAGTGTTAAGGATAGGGTTGTTGCCGTAACAAGTGGTTTTATTTTTCCAAAGTAGTCTTTCATTTATATCGTCTTTTCATGGGACCTTCAAAAAACAGTCATGCAATGGCCCAAAGTAACACTGATATAAATCTTAGCAATTAAACGGATAGCAAGCAAATGAAGACTGAAGAGAGGCTTATGGGTAAAGGCTAATGTCTTCCAAATCCAATGGCCTATTCTTTCCTTCTCTGAGCTAGGTTCATGACTCAGACAAGCAATGAGGATGTTGAAGTTGGTCTACAACAAAAGTCTTCTAGGAGGCCAGTCGAAGTAAACATGGGTTGGCTGGCACCTGACCCAGCGCTTCGTTTCACTCCGCTGAGTTTCCTGATCTTCACATTGTCACCCCTTCACTTCTTTAGAGTTAGCCTTCAATGTCTCTATTTTCTATGTCTTTTCCCCACCCCCTGGCACATGGACAGTTTTTGTTCTTTTTTTTGCGCACATGGAGAGTTTTTCACAGCTTGTGAAGGTGATGGGATGAGAGCCACCTCACCAGCCAGTTGCCCTGTGACCAAAGGAGTCAGCAAGATCCTTTAGGTCACGGAGATAGACATGGGCAGGTACAGAGGAAATCACTGGGATTCTACAGAGGGAAGGAAGGAAGAGCTCCTCTTACAGGGGATGAAACCCTCAGGAAGTCATAGGAAGAAAGCGTGGGGACTCAGCAGGTCCAGGATGTGGGCAGGGCAGGGCCCTGGACCAGGGTGGCTCTGAGGCTGGCACTGGTTAGGGCAAGGCGATCAAAGCCAGGGGTCGGATTACACGGACTGCAATCCTGCTTTCCAAAAGTGCCGGGGCTCTTTACAATTCCACCAGCTGTGGTGAGGGAACCAAGTTCACTCGCCCTCGGTCCAGAAAGCTATTTCAGTTGCCGATCTGTTGTTGTGGAGTGCCGCTGAGTGGATTCAGACACGCAATGACCTGGGGAAAAAGAGTAGAAACTACCCCCGCAGGATTTTCTTAGCGGATTTCTTTATTAAAGTAGATTATGAAACCTATCATCTCTGTAGCGTCAGATGGTGGGCTCGAACTGCCAACCTTCTGTTTGCAGCTGAGCACTTAACCATTGTGACACCACAGCTTTGAATTTAGCCAGGAGAAGATGATATCTTCAAATTGACATCATTTCTTAAGTTGAAGATATCTGCTTATAAGTACAGATAAACTTTTTCCCATGGTCTAGTGCAGGGTTTGGCAAACTATGGCTCTCAAGTGATGTGGGGCTCTTCCGGTGGGGACATATGGCTCTGAAGAAAATTGAACAATGTGAAAGATTATTAGTCAGATAATGGTGAGTTCACTTGTTTGTAAGAATATATTTATGGATCACCAATAATTTTTCAATTGTTGTGAGGCACAGGAATTGGCACTTCCTTCTCAAAAGTTTGCCGTCCATTGAATTAATTCTTGAGGTTGATAATTATACTTTTCGGTGAATAATTATTCATATCTTTGCCTTTTATCCAGTGGGTATTGATTTTTTTTTCTCTTTTGGTTTGAATAATTTGTGATTTTTGGATCATTTATCATATTTGATACAAATCATTTTGAATTTTACTATGACCTATAATTTTAATTATTTTAAAGGTAGAGGAACTGCCCTTGTATTTGTATGATTTCTCCCTAATGGTTGTGATCACCACTTCTCTGTCAGCTGCTTGTACTGTGGTGGCTTGCACGCTGCTGTGACACGGGAACTGGAGCCCCGATTATCTCAAATAGTCTGATTTCAGCTAAGTTTCCAGACAAACACAAAGACTAAGACATACTAGGGAAAAGGACCGGGTTATCTCCTTCTAAAAAGGCAACAAAACTATTATAAACAGCAGTGGAACATTGTCCAATAATTAGTCTCTCCGGTTGGAAGGCACTCAAAATACAACCATGAAAGAGCTACCATCTCAAAGTAGTCTACCCTAATGACAGGGATGGGAAAAAGTGTTTCGGATGTGGCATGACTCAAAACAAGAAGAAACAGCTGCAAACATGCACTAATAATCAGAACATGGCATGTACACACTCTGAATCTTTGGGAAAGACAATGTAATGGATAAAGATAAATATGCTAGGTTGAAATGAACAGCTATTGCCCATTTGGTATCAATCTTGTGGCCTACCAGGCCAGGAGGGACAAGCTGAAGAGGAACAGCATTGCATTCATAGCCAAAAGGAATGTATTAAGATTTAGTCCAAAGTACAATGATGTCAGCGACAGGACAATATCTATACACATGTAAGGAGATCAATTAATAACACCATCACTCAAATTAAGACAGCAGTGACTCATGAAGAAATTGAAGTTATTTACCATCTTCTGGAGTCTACAATGGATCATACATTTAGTCAAGTGGCATTGACATTTACTGGTGATTGGAATGTGAATTTTGGACAATACATAATGTTTTGGCGAAGAATAATGAATAAACCATGGACTGCCAGAAGCATAAACGAATCTATCTTGGACGAAATCCAGCCAGAATGCTCCTTAGAGGCAAGAATGGCAAGACTTTGTCTCATGGACATTGGACATGTTATCCGGTGAGAACAGTCCTTCGAGAAGGACATCAGGCTTGGTAAAGTAGAAGATCGGTGACAAAAAGGAAGACCATCAACGGGATGGACTGACACAGTGGCTACAACAATGGGCTCAGACACAGGAACAATTGTGAGCAAGATACAGGGCTTGGCAGTGGTTTGTTCTGTTGTTCTTAGGGTCCTTATGAATCAGAACTGATTTGACAGCATCTAAAACCAATGGCTTTAAAGACCTCAAACCCAGGATCTTGCAACATGAGACGCTCAGTGGAATGTAGGTGGGTGAGGCAATGGGCGTGGCTCTGGGCACAGCTCTTAGGCTTTGTATGGTGGGTAGGTGGGCTTCAGGGTCCTGGACTGCGTCTGCCGCTTAGGTGGGTAGCATGGCAGGTGGTGCTGGGTGCACTCTGTCCCTATCTATTGGCTTCCTTTTGCTCCGCTCCCTGGTAGCCCTTGCAGCTCCTGCTGGTCCAGTTGCTGCTGCTTCCTGTTCCTCTAGTCAGCAGCAGCAGCAGCAGCAGCAGCAGCAGCAGCAGCAGCAAGGATGACCAATTAGAAGTGGGGTCCCACTAAGTTTTAATATGGTGTTCACACCACATCCAAAGCAAATAGTGTCCTATTTTACAGTACATAGCCACAATCAATGCTTATGGAAGCAGCAGTTGAGAGGTCAAAAAGTGTATTGAATTAGGTAAATCTGCCGCACAAGACCTCTTTAGACTATTGAAGAGCAAGGATGTTATTTTCAGGACTAAGTTGCGCCTTGGTGTTCTCCATCCCATCATATGCATGTGACAGTTGGACATTGAATGAGGAAAACCACGGGAGAATCGATGCATTTGAATTGTGGTGCTGGAGAAGAATATTGATAGTATCACGGCCTGCTAAAAGGACTAACCGATCTGTATTGGAAGAAGTAAGGCCAGAGTGCTCCTTACAGGCAAGAATGGCAAGACTTCATCTAACATCCTTTGAACATGTTGTCAGGAAAGATCAGTCTCTGGAGAAGGACATTATGCCTGGTAAAGTGGAGGGGTGGCAAAAGAGAGGAAGCCCCTCAAGGAGATGGACTAACACAGTGGCTGCCACAATAGGAACAATGGTGAGGAAGATGCAGGACCCTGCAGTGTTTTGATCACCTGTGCATAGGGTCGGAATAAAGCCGATGGCACCTAACAACAACATTGTATTCCTGTGTAGAAATCTGATAAGATTTTGCTTTCAGAGTATCTTCTCTCGCTAGTAAGGAGGGAATGTCACTGCATTGTAAATGTAGAAATTGTTGAATGTAAGTATGGTCTGCAGGGTATATTTTCAACAACAACAAATGATAAAAAAATAGAAATAAGTACCCAAACCGAACAACACTGAAAAACTGAGAACATCATTCTGCTTGGGTGCTAAAAGTAATTCAAGTCAAAATTTCCGGGGAACCCTGATGCTCCAGGAAAAGTTCACTTGCTGATTATAACATAGCAGCGGAGTTCTATTGTTACCCCTAAGCTCTCTCTGCCCAGAAGCTGACTCGATGACACCTAACAACACCCACCATCTAAAAAACCAAATACACACCACCCCAAATCAAAGGAAAGAATAAAGAGCAATGCTCTCCTTCGCAATCAGAGCTCTTTCTTTGAAAGATGAGCTCTGCAGGGAACAGCGAAGGCCGAGGTCAGCTGGCAGCTGCAGGAGAGCACAGGCTTAGGCCACGGTCGGGTTTCTCCATTGAAATGAAGAGAAGTATTTTTAGGGTTGACCCGAATGAGGGCGCTCTCGGCAACCCTTTCAGATTTCTTTTCTGGATCATGACCCTTGCCCAACATCCAGATGCAATAGCATCTATTCATGTTATTCCTCAGCTCCTGCCTGCTTTATTTTGCTCTGGAAATCATCTGCTAACAACAAACCATTTTGCCCACTGAAGCAGTTATGC